AATTAACAGAGTCAGCATCTTAACCAATTGAGCCACTGCATCCTTAATGCTTGAAAAGGGAGGGATAAATATATCACAAACTACAACAGCACACAAACAGAACTTCCATGTTCAGAGGTGGTTTACAACCATTTGTCACATACTAGAAACAAAAATACTTATTAACTATGGCTCTGTCTGCACAGGCCAAATAAAATGTCCTCCCCCCTGTTCCAATGGCAATGAGTCTGGACAATGCAGGGCCCAATTGCTGGTTCTGGTGCAAACTGTCCAGATGACATCCAACCCACTCAGTACTGAACCCATCGTATACTCCTCTTAAAATGTCTTAACTCACCTTTTACTCCGGACCTTCCCAGGAGATCTGGAGTCCATCATTGCTCAGTTGTTTACAATGTGTCCCACTGTGTTGCCCACTATTGCTGGTGTGAGCTGTTTGCTCTGAGGTCAGAATGAAGTGCCTAGACATATGAATGATACTGGCCACCTCATTCTGGCCTCAGAGCAAGCAACTTGCACCCTGGCATCACAACAGAGGACTCTAGATCTTCTGGAAAAATTAAGAGGGAAGAATTGCCTAATGACAACAGTAGGGCTGGACAATTTGTGTGTGGCCATGGGTATATGTAATGGCTAGATCCTGAACAGGCAACTCCAAACTACAACATTTTGTTGTAGGTTACACTTATTACTATTGCCTGATAATCCTTCTTCCAAAGTAGAGCTGTTGCCACAGCATTTCCCCCTAACCTCTTAATGGCTCTTGCTAGTAATCATAAGAAAAGTTTTAGATTTCAAATTAGTATAAACCAAATATAGTTCTTTCTGCAATTCTATCTACAAAATTGAATTCCACCCATTTTCTACCACTTGACTATTTGGAATTTTTCAAAATTTCGAACAATCTATTTGGTTTTCAAAATGGACTATTTGGTATTTCAAAATTAATATATTTTGGAAGCAACAAGCAAGACCCAAATTAAGTAAAGGGGTAAATAAAAATGAAAAGCTATATAAAATCAGAAGCAATCACACCAATCTGCTAGGAGCTGAACCATTGCCAGTTAGTCTGCCTCAGGGCTCCATAGGTTTTCTAAGCATAGTGCCAAACTAGAGCAATATTGTTATGGTTAGAGAGGAATTTCTCACAAGAGCTAACAGAGGCAGAAGGTCATAAATAAACACAGCAGGATTGCCTTGTCAGTTCTCATTATTAGCGCTGCAGGCACTTGCTTTTCTATGGGCTGCTTGCAGGTTCATTTAAGTGTAAGTGCTCCTCCTCAGAATTTCACATGCTCATAAATAAAGAAAGCATTTTTTAGCCTGAGAATGAAAGTGCACACATGTGTGAATGGATAGGTGGATGTGCTTTTGCACAAACACAGACACACACACACACAGAGCACAAAAATACAAATACCCCAGATGAAGTTGAAGTTTAGATAAACACTAAGCCATAACTGTAATGCTCTTTCACTGTGGCCTTTATTGTAACTCACAAGCCTGACAGACCTCAGCCATAATGAACAAGAAGCTGTACTTTCTTACTACAATAATGGTCATCAGAATTACATCTGAGCAGAAAATGAAGCTGAGTTCCTAAAGTGATCCTGACATCCATTAGAATACCAGGAAGCACAGCTGTGTGATCATTATTGCAATTATAAAATGACATTTAGTGTTAACTTACTTTTGTTGCAGTAAAAGAAGACAAAGATAATAGCAGTATTTGGAAAAGAGGAGATTATTTAAAGTGGTTAAAACAAAAGAGGACATAGAAAAGGATTCAAGAAAACCTTTTCCTGAATGGAGGAATGGAGGAAATGAGGAATGGAGGAAATGAGTGTTAAATGAATGGAGAAATGGAGGAAATGAGTGTTAAGCAAGTAAGTGTAAGTGTGGAGTGATGCATAGTGGGACAAAATCTGAAATTCATGTGCATGCTCATGAAGCTGGCAGTGATGGACTAGAAAAAGGATCTTGAGATTGTAGTGGATAGTGTGATGAAAACTCTCTCTCTCTCTGTACACCTTCAAGTTGGCTGTCAACATATGGTGACCTCATGAATTTCATAGGATTTTCCTAGGCAAGGAATCCTCAGAGGTGGTTTTGCCAGTTCCTTCCTTTCAAATACAGCCCACAGCATCAGGTATTCATTGGCGGTCTTCTAGGGCTGACCCTGCTTAGTTTACAAGATCAGACGGGATCTGTTGCCATTGTACATGATCAAATTCCATGTCAGGCAACATTAAGAAAATAATACAAAAATAGTACTAGCCATATCTTAATGTCTTTACAAAAATCTATAGTGGAACTGCATTTGGAATACTGTGTACAATCCCAGTCACACCCCTTCCCCCAAAAAATCATAGAATCATAGAGTTGGAAGAGACCACAAGGCCCATCCAGTCCAACCCCCTGCCATGCAGGAATACAAAATCAAACCATCCCTGACAGATGGCCATCCAGCCTCTGTTTAAAGACCTCCAAAGAAAAAGACTCCACCACACTCCGAGGGAGTGTGTTCCACTTTCGAACAGCCCTCACTGTCAGGAAGTTTTGAAAATGTTGAGGTGGAATCTCTTTTCCTGGAGCTTGCATCCGTTGTTCTGAGTCCTATTCTCTGGAGCAGCAGAAAACAAGCTAGCTCCCTCCTCAATATGACATCTCTTCAAATATTTAAAGAGGGCTATCATATCCCCTCTTAACTGTCTCTTCTCCAGACTAAACATACCCAGTTCCCTAAGTCGTTCCTCATAAGGCATGGCTTCCAGACCCTTCACCATTTTACTTGCCCTCCTCTGGACACGCTCCAGTTTTTCAACACCCTTTCTGAAATATGATGCCCAGAATTGGACACAGGATTCCAGGTGGGGCCTGACCAAAGCAGAATACAGTGGCACTATTACTTCCCTTGATCTATATACTATATTTCTATTAATGCAGCCTAAAATTGCATTGGCCTTTTTAGCTGCGGCATCACACTGTTGACTCATGTTCAGCTTGTGGTCCACTAGGACTCCTAGATCCCTTTCACATGTAGTCTCATTAAGCCAGGTGTCCCCCATCTTATATCTACTCATTTCATTTTTTTGCCCTAAGTGCAGTAACTTACATTTCTCTGTGTTGAAATTCATTTTGTTAGCTTTGGCCCAGCTTTCTAATCTATTAAGGTCATTTTGACTTTTCATCCTGTCTTCTGGGATATTAGCTATTCCTCCTATTCCTTTATGATGTCATAAAGACTGGAAAAGGGTAGTCACAAACAATTAGACCACTTAAGCAACTCCCCTATGAGAAGTGAGAAATGTTTGGGTTTTTTAGCTTGGAAAAGGATTGGGTAAGTGGGAATAGGACAAAAGTATATATAATTATGCATGATGTGGAGCAGTTATAATGAGAAGTTCCCCACCCCCATAGTATTAGAACCTGGGGTCTGCCAATGACACCAAATAATGGGAGATTCATGAGAGATAAAAGGAAGTACTTCTTGACAAAGCATGGGGCTACACTAGGGCATTTGTGATTACTAGGTGTTAGGGTGGCTGCCAGTGTGGATGGCTTTAAAAGGGGTAAGATAAATGAACAGGAATTAAGGCTATGAACGATTACTCTCCTGTGATTATTATTTATTGCAACCTAATCTGTATGCCTTGAAATAGTAATTCATCGTAACATGGAAAGGAGGGGTCTGTAGCATTCATCTCCTGCTTGTGGCTGACCTCTGTGTGGGCAGAATGCACTAGACAGTCAGAGACTAGACAATATAGTTCTTCTCATGGTTTTATGGGAGAATGGGGAAATATAAAAAGAAGTAACTATGTAACTATGTATCAGAGCTTTACCTGGGCAATAAATATGAATAACGCCCTTGGTATTTTATGACTGTCATTATTAATTCTGATCAAGAGTACTGAACCTTACATGATATTGTACCTTAGGAGACAGGCCCTATAATAATTATGGATATGGTGCTCAGTATTGTCTATTTTAAATAGCTGACACGTTGTAAAAGTTCTACTGGAAGGAATCACAGAGAGTGTTACACAACTGGCCCTCTGTATCCATGGATTCAAGCATCCACGGCTTGAAAAGATTCCAAAAAAA